CTATAATTGGGTACCAGCTCGACTTCTCCATGTTCAAAGAGTTGTGTAGGGATTGTCTTCAGCAATGGGGACTTTTTGTCAATATGTAGAGAGCAACCTATGATCTTGGCAACAGTCTGGGTTGTTTGGGGATTCCCTTTGGCCAATATCTCAATTAGATGTAACCCAATTCCAGTACTAGGAGTTTCATTTGGTGAAAAGATAGAGCTAGTTGGAGCTTTCTCTCCCCCATTATTTGGTGATTTTAGTTAGATCACCTCCATATATGTCTATATTTTAAGACACGTCTACTGTATTAGGTTTCTGTGCTGCCCTTAAATGGCCCTCAATTTTAGCTGTCTCTCCCCATATTTCCTCTCTTGTGCCCATCTCCCTCCCCACTTGACCTTCCCATTCCATCCTCCACCATCCATACGTAACTATCTGATCTAGTTCCCATTCCTAAAGAAATCTATCTGTCCCTCTTAGTCCATTATTCTATAGCTAACTTCTGTGGTTCTATGGATTGTAGCTTGGTTATCACTGTCTTCACAGCTACTATCGGACATAAGCAAATACATACCATATTTGTCTTTCTCAGTGTGGCATACCTCACTCAGGATGAATTTTTTCTAGTTCCATCCATTTACCTGCAAAACTAATGATTTCTTTCTTTCTTTCTCTTTTAAACAGCTGAATAATGCACCATTTTATAAATGTACCATTTTCTTTATCCATTCTGTTGAAGGACATCTAGGTTGTTTCCAGTTTCTGGTTATTATAAACAGAGCAGCAATGAACGTGGCTGAGCAAGTGTGAGGGAGGATGAAACATCCTTTGGGTATATGTCCAAGAGTAGTATAGCTGGATCTTAAGGTGGATTGATTGCCATCTTTCTGAGGAACTGACACACTGATTTACATACTGGCTGTACAAGTTTGTACTCTAACCAGCAATGGATGAATGTTTCCTTTATTCCATGTGCTTATTAGCATAAACTGTCTTGGCCATTCTGATGGGTGTAAGATAAAAATCTCAAAGTAGTTTTGATTTGCACTTCCCTGATGATGAAGGATGTTGAAAATTTTTTTAAGTGTTTTTCAGCCATTTGAGTTTCCACTTTTAAGAATTCTATTTAGATCTGTATCCCCATTTACAATTGGGTTATCTGTTTTCTTGATACCTAGTTTTTTTGAGTTCTTTATGTACTTCAAATACTAGTCCTAGTTGGGTTACTACTGCTGTGATGAAACACCATAACGGGGGAGGAAAGGGTTTATTTGGCTTATGCTTCCACATCACAGTTTATCATCAAAGGAAGTCAGGACAGGAACTCAAGCAGGGCAGGAACCTGGAGGCAGGAGCTGATGCAGAGGCCTAAAAGAAGTGTTGCTTACTGGCTTGCTCAGTCTGATTTCTTACAGAACCCAGGTCCACCAGCCCAGGGATGGTACCACACACAATGGGCAGGGCCATCCCCCATCAATCACTAATTAAGAAAGTGCTCTACATGCTTGCCTACAGCTCGATCCAATGGAGGCATTTTCTTAACTGAGGGTCCCTGATGACTTTAGCTGTGTTAAGTTGACATAAAACTACCCAACACAGCACTCTATCAGGTGTGTAGTTGGTAAAAATCCTTTCCCACTCTTCATGCTGCCACTTTGTTCCAAAGGATAATGTCCTTTACAGAGCAGAAGCTTTTCAGTTTTATGAGGTCCCATATATTAATTGTTGATCTTAGTGCCTGCTGTGGGATGTTCTGTATTCTGTGAATGTGTTGCTCTGATTAGTTGATAAACAAAAAGCTGATTGGCCAGTAGCCAGGCAGGAAGTATAGGCAAGATAAGCAGACAAGGAGAATTCTGGTATGGGGAAGGCTGAGTCAACAGACACCAGCCCACCATACAGGATAGCATGTAATGACACACAGGTAAAGTCATGGAAAACGTGGTGATACAGATTAACAGAAATAGGCTGAGTTTAAGTGTAGTAGCTAGTCAATGGCAGGCCTGAGCTAATGGCCAAACAGTCTTAATTAATAAAAGCCTCTGTGTGTTTACTTGGGACCGAGGGGCCACGGGAGCCAGGCGGGACCAAAAAAACTTCAGATACAAGTGCCTGTGCTAATGATGTTCTATTCAGAAGTCTTTTCCTGTCCCAATGAGTGCAACGTTATTCCTCAGTTTCTCCTCTATGAGATTCAGTGCAATTGGTTTTATGTAGAAATCTTTGATACATTGAGACTTGAGTTTTGTGCAGGATGACAAACATGGATCCATTTGGATTCTTCTACATGCAGTCATCCAGTTTGACCAGCACTATTTGTTGAAGATGCTTCCTTTTTCCTAGTGTGTATTTCTGACTTCTATATCAAAAATCAGATATCCATATGTGTGAATTTATGTCTGGATCTTCAATTCAATTCCATTGATTGTATCTGTTTTGTGCCAGTACTATGGTGATATTTTATTTGTATTAAAATGTTATTTGTATGTTAATAAATAAAGTTGTCCGGGGGTCAGAGCTATTAGCAAGCCATAGGAAAGCAGGGCAGTGGTGGCATACACTTGTAATCCCAGCACTTGGTAGGCAGAGCTAGGTAAGTCTCTGTGTGTTCAGGGATACAGCCAGTATTGGATACACATGCCTTTAATCTCAATACCAATCATAGAAAACCTGGAGGTCTATACAGACAGGCCATGATGAGGCGGTCATGTGGTTGGGTTTACAACCAATGAGAAGGCAGAACAGAAACTCTATATAAAGACTTTAACACAGGGAGTAGCTCTGGTTCGGAGAGGTAGGACCACCGCAGGAGGAAGGGTAAGGTTTTAGCTCTTAGCTCTGACCTCTTGGCTTTTTCTTTCCATTGGTTCTGTGTTTCTTATTTAATAAGAAGGTTGGTTACATCTACAAGTACCATGCTGTTTTTGTTACTATAGCTCTGTAGTATAACTTGAAATTGGGGGTGGTGATATCTCCTGCATGTCTTTTGTTATTCAGGACTGTTTTAGCTATCCTGGGTTTTTTGTATTTCCATATAAAGCTGAAAATTTTCCTTCAAGATCTGTGAAGAATTGTTTTGGAATTTTGATGTGGATTGTATCGAATCTTGAGATTGCTTTTGGTAGGATGGCCATTTTACTATATTAATCCTATTGATCCATGAGCATGGGAAATCTTCCCATCTTCCGCTATCTTATCCAATTTCTTTCTTCAAAGACTTGAAATTGTTTTCATACAAGTCTTTGACTTGCTTCATTAGAGTTATCTCCAAGATAGTTTATATTATTTGATGCTATTGTGAAAGGTGTTGATTTTCTTTCTCAGTCTGTTTGTCATTTGAATATAGGATTTTTTTTAAGTTAATTTTCTATCTAACTACTTTGCAGAAAATGTTTATCAGCTGTAGGGGTTTCCTAGTGGAATTTTTAGGATCACTTATGTATAGTATATCATCTGCAAATAAAGATATTTTGCCTTTTCCCCTTCCTCTTTGCACCCCCTTGATCTCCTTCAGTTGTCTTATTGTTCTACCTAAGTATATATTGAATATGTATGGAGTATAGACAACCTTGTCTTGTTCCTGATTTTAGTGGAATTGCATCTTAGTTTCTCCCTATTCAAATTTATGTTGGCTATGGGCATGCTGTAAACTGCCTTTCTTATGTTGAAGTATATTCCTAGTATCCATAATCTCTCCAGGACTTCTATCATGAAAGGGTGCTGGATTTTGTCAAAGGCCTTTTCTGAATCTAGTAAGATGATTATATGGTTTTTATTTCTCAGTTTCTTTATTTGGTGGAGTACGTTTATCAATTTATGTATGTTGAACCATCTCTGTATCTCTGGGGTAAAGCCTATTTGATCATTGTGAATAATCTTTGATGTTCTTGGATTCAGTTTGCAAGTATTTTATTGAGTATTTTTGTATCTACGTTCATAAGGAAAATTGGTCTTTAATTCTCCTTCTTCGATGGGTCTTTATGCAGTTTGGGTATCAGGATAACTGTGGCCTCCTAAAATGAATTGGACAATGTTCCTTCTGTTTCTATGTTATGGAATAATTTGAAGAGTACTGGCATTAATTCTTATAAAGTCTGTGCTAAAACCATCTGGTCTGGGGCTGTTTTTGGTTGGGAGTTTTTAATAATTGCTTCTATTTCAGTAGGGGTTATAGGTCTGTTTAAATTACTCATCTGGTATTGATTTACCTTTGGCAAGTGGTATGTATTGAGCATATTATCCATTTCTTTTAGATTTTCCAATTTGGTGGAGTACAGGTTTTTAAAGTATGTCGTTATAATCATAAGGAGTCCCTAGGTATCTGTTGCTATATTCCTCTTTTCATTTCTAATTTTGTTAATATGGATAAATGAATATACAACATATCCAAACTTACGGGACACAATGAAGGCAGTTCTAAGAGGCTAATTCATAACACTAAGTGCCTATATTAAAAAAAAAAATTAGAGAAATCTCATACTAGCACACCTGAAAACTCTGTAATAATAATAATAATAATAATAATAATAATAATAATAATAATAATAAAATCACACCCAAAAGGAGTAGACAGCAGGAAATAAACTCAGGGCTGAAATCAGTAAAACAGAAACAAAAAACAACAGCCAAAACAAAACAAAACAAAATAAAAAGAGTTAATGAAACACAGCATTGAGTTTTTGAGAAAAATCAGTAAGATTGACAAACTCTTATCCAAATGAAGTACTAGCTGTTTATAAGAGATACACTTTAACTTTAACCTGGCAGTAGGATCAGGATCCATCCCTGGTGCACACACAGGTGGAAATGGCTGGGGACAAAGGGTTATAAAATACAAGAACAAGAGTAAAAGCTACAATTGACATAAGCAGAAAGGGAGCCTTACAACTTGATGACAGGTTTCCACATTCCAAAGGTATGCTCACCTTGACTGTCTGGACATCAGATTCAAAGAGATTAAAGAATAAACAGAATAGGATGAGCTATCTTTATACTCTGTATGTTTTTCTTACCAGCATCACTGTTAAGTTCATAATTCTCCCAAGGTTATCAATGTAGTAGACACTGTCTTGATACCAGGCATCACAGTGCAGATAATTATACATTCCAAAAGCATGCATGTGCTCCAACGTATACTGGTCATCCCGAAGTTTTACTTCTGCTACAGCTGAAAGACAAATGTATGTATATATATATAGATAGATAGATAGATAGATAGATATAGATATACACACACACATATATTTACATAAACTGATATGTACAGTTCATCAAAATCATCAAATCATCAAATCACACAATCATCAAAACTTGCACCTTAGATAATTACTTTCTGGAGAATGCCTACAGGGCACAGAAATCAGGCAATTCCAGCTACAGAGGCTATAACACACAGGGCTTTCATAGTACAATCTTTTTCTTTTATGTACCTCTACAATTTTGAATTACAAAAATAGAAATTCTAAAAACAAAGGACTTCTAACCTATGGGCAAACAAGCCCAGTTTATAAAAGCATTTTATGCTTTGTAAAACAATCTTACCCCAGTGTATTATTCATCTCTATCACACATAAAGAAAGAAAAAAATGTCTTTATTATATGATTACATAGTTAGAAAACAATGTGTAAACACAAACAGTCACCTTATCATCATAGTCTATCATTCCTAATTATATAGAATAAAACAATATCATAGTCAGGACATACATAGGTTTTTCTATGTATAGAACAGGGCTCTCTAAACTAACACATTAGCTGTTTTCCTCATTCTGAATTGGCCAAATATAGTCTCTCCCTCACACTCCTGCCTTTCTGTGCAGTTAAGAACTCTTGCAGCTCAGGACTACTCATGTCCTACAACTAATTTCCGTTGTAACAAAAAATATGAAGTAAACTGCACTGGACCTACATGTTACCTTTATATAAAACCCACTTTAACTCTATTCTCATTGCAATTATTTTCTTCTTTACCCACGGTTTTACTTTCCCTTCTGTTGCTGTCGTAAACCTCATGACCAAAAAAAAAAAAAAACCCTCAGAGACGAAGGGGTTAATTCCAGCTTTCGCATCCAGGTCACAGTTCATCACTGAGGGAATTCAGGACAGGGACTCAAGCAGGAACTGAAGTAGAAACCATGGAAGACTGTTGTTGTTTACTGGCTTGCTTCCTCTGATTTGTGATCAGCCAGCTTTCTTCTTTTAATTAAGAAATTTTTAAATTTATTTTACATACCAACCACAGATCCCCTCTCTTCCCTCCTCCCACCCCCCCCCCCCCCGCATCCCCCCCCTCTGTCCCCCATTTCTCCTGCTATAAGGTAAGGCCTCCCATGGGGAGTCAGCAGAGCCTGGTACATTCAGCTGAGGCAGGTCCAAGCCTCTCCCCCTGCATCAAGGCTGTGAAAGGCGTCCGACCAGGGATAGTGGGCTTCAAAAAGTCAGTGCATGCACCAAGGATGGATCCTGATCCTACTGCCAGGAGGCCCTTAAAGCAGATCAGGCTATACAACTGTCTCGCTCACATAGAGGGCCTGGTCCAGTCCCAAGGAGGCTATACAGCTGTTGGTCTAAACTTCCTGAGTTCCCACTAGTTTGGTTTGGTTGTCTCTGTATGTTTCCCCATCATGATCTTGATGCTCCTTGCTCATAGAATCCCTCTTCTCTCTCTTAGACTGGACTCCTGGAGATCAGCCTGGTGCTTGGCTGTGAATCTCTGCATCTGCTTCCATCAGTTACTGGATGAAGGCTCTATGATGACAGTTAGGGTATTCACCGATCTGATTACTGGGGTAAGCCAGTGTTCAGGCACCCTCTCCACCACTGCTAGTAGCCTAAGTTGGAGTCATTCTTGTGGATTCCTGGGACCATAAGCCAGTTCAGGTACCCTCTCCACCACTGCTAATAGTCTAAGTTGGGGTCATCCTTGTGGATTCCTGGGACCTTCCCTAGCACCTAGTTTCTTCCTATCCCCATGATGTCTCTCTCTACCATAGTATCTCTTTCATTGCTCTCCCACTCCATTTCTGTTCCAGCTCGACCATCCTGTTCCCTTATGTTCTCATCCCCCATCCCCTATACGCTATTGCCCCCTCATCCCCAGTTTACCCATAGAGAGCTCATATATTTCCCCTTCCCAGGGGGATCCATGCATCCCTCTTAGGGTCCTCCTTGTTAGCTCACTTCTCTGGAGCTGTGGGTTGTAGTCTGGTTATCTTTTGCTTTACATCTAGTAGTCACTTATAAGTGAGTACATACCATGTTTGTTTTTCTGAGTCTGGGTTACCTTACTCAGGATGATATTTTCTAGTTCTATCCATTTGCCTGTGAACCTCATGATGTCATTGATTTTTACTGCTGAGTAGTACTCCATTTTGTATATGTACCACATTTTCTTTATCCATTCTTCAGTTGAAGGGCATCTAGGTTGTTTCCAGGCTCTGGCTATTACGAATAATACTGCTATGAACATAGTTAAGCAAGTGTCCTTGTGGTATGATTAAGCATCCTTTGGGTATATGCCCCAGAGTGCTATCATTGGGTCTTGAGGTAGATTGATTCCCAGTTTTTTGAGAAACCACCATACTGATTTCCAAAGTGGCTGTACAAATTTGCACTCCCACCAACAGTAAAGGAGTGTTCCCCTTGCTTCACATCCTCTCCAACATAAGTTGTCATCAGTGTTTTTGATCTTAGCCATTATGACAGGTGAAAGATGGTATCTCAGAGTCATTTTGATTTGCATTTCCCTGATGACTAAAGATGTTGAGCAACTCCTTAAATGTCTTTCAGCCATTTGAGATTCTTCTGTTGAGAATTCTCTGTTTAGCTCTGTATCCCATTTTTTAATTGGATCGTTTGATATTTTTATATCTAGTTTCTTGAATTCTTTATATATTTTGGAGATTAGCCCTCTATCAGATGTGGGGTTGGTCAAGATCTTTTCCCAACATGTTGGTTTTTATGCCAATACCAAGCTGTTTTTATTACTATAGCTCTACAGTAGAGCTTGACGTCAGGGATGGTGATGCCTCCAGAAGTTGCTTTATTGTACAGGATTGTTTTAGCTATCCTGGGATTTTTGTTTTTCCATATGAAGTTGAGTATTATTCTTTCCAGGTCTCTGAAGAATTGTGTTAAAATTTTGATGGGGATTGCACTGAATCTGTAGATTGCTTTTGGTAAGTTTGCCATTTTTACTATGTTAATCCTACCTATCCATGAGCATGGGAGATCTTCCCATTTTCTGATATCTTCTTCAATTTCTCTCTTCAAAGGCTTAAAGTTCTTGTCATACAGGTCTTTCACTTGCTTAGTCAGAGTTACCCCAAGGTATTTTATATTATTTGTGGCAATTGTAAAGGGTGATGTTTCTCTGGTTTCTTTCTCTGCCCATTTATCATTTGTATATAGGAGAGCTACCAATTTTTTTTTAGTTAATCTTGCATCCTGCCATATTACTGAAGGTGTTTATCAATCATAGGAGTTTCCTGGTAGAATCTTTGGGGTCATTTGTGTAGACTATCATATGGTCTGCAAATAGCAAAAGTTTGACTTCTTCCTTTCCTATTTTTATCCCTTTGATTTCCTTTTGTTGTCTTATTACTCTAGCTATAACTTCGGGCACTATATTGAATAGATATGGAGAGAGTAGACAGCCTTGTCTTGTTCCTGATTTTAGTGGAATTGCTTTGAATTTCTCTCCATTTAATTTTATGTTGGATGTCAGCTTGCTATAAATTGCCTTTATTATGTTTAGGTACAGTCCTTGTATTCTTGGTCACTACAAGACCTTTATCATGAAGGGGTGTTGGATTTTGTCAAAGGCTTTTTCAGCATCTAATGAGATGATCATGTACTTATCGTATATATCATCTGCCCAGAGGTGGCACTGTCCATGGTGGATTGGGTCTTCCCACATCAATCAAACTAAAGACAATTCTTCACATACAGGGCAAAGGCCAATCTGATCTGGGTATTACCTCAACTGAGATTCCTTTTTCTGGGTAACTGTTAATTGTGTCAAGTTAACAACAAAAACTATCCAGGACATCATATCACTTTGTTATTTTCATTTGCATTTTATTCTGTATGTTTGTTTGTCTGCAGGAATGTATGTGCACCATTTGCATGGAGGTCAGAAGGGGCATCCAATCCTTTGGACTGGAGTTACAGATGCTTATGAGTCATGATTTAGGTTCTGGGCACTGAACCCTCTACATCTCTCCAGCCCCACTTTCCCTGTTTTCAATGCCTGCACCGAGTCCTGCTTACATATTTATTCACTCATTTATTTAGTCTTTTAACAAGCACCAATAACACTAATGATACACAAAGAGAACATACTGTACTTTCTAAGAACTTAGGATCTGGTAAACCAAGGGATAATGGGCCAGGTGTGATAGCACACACCTTTAATCCCAGCACTTGGGAGGCAGAGGCACACAGATCTCTGTGATTTAGGGACCAGCAAGTTCTAGGCCAGCTAGGGCTACATAGTGAGACCATGCCCCAAAAATAAATAAATAAATAAATAAATAAATAAATAAATAAATAACCCCATTCCCAAACAAAACTAAGGGACACTGGTCAAATAATTATGTGTTGTATACTGAATTCTATAGAATTAAACCGTTACATAAAAAATACAAATACCACAGGAAATGTAAAAGATAATTGATCTTTAGGAGATTAAGAACAGCTTTCCAAGACTAAGCCAAGATACAGAAGGAAGAATTAGTTGAAGAAATACATGTTTAAATAATATACCTTCTAAACAAAAGCAGGAAGAAACTGGAAGAAAAAGATAAGTATTCATACTGGATGTCCTAGTTTTCTTTCCTGTTGCTGTGATAAAACCTGGACAGAAGCAACTTTGGGGAAAAAAGGGATTTCTGTGCATCATGACTCCAGGTCACCATCCATCACTGCTAGGGATGTCATGGCAGAAACTTGAAGCAGCTATTCACATCCATGGTCAAGAACAGAAAGAGGATGAAGGCATGCTCATTGCTAAACTTGTCTTTCCCTTCCCTGTCACTCAAGCCAGAGCCCAACCCATTAAACAGTGCCACCACATTCAAGGTATGCCTTCCCACCTCAATTAACTGAACAATTAATTAATTAACATCAATTAATCCTCACAATCACACCCACAGGCCACCCTAATCT